CAAGGCGCAGGTGCAAAGAGCCATGCAGGGAAGGAAGGGCTCGGCTGAGGCCCTCCTTTTGCCTTGAGGTTTGTGACTGACACTGTGTCTACGCATGGACTGGGCTTACAGTCCAGATGTTTCAAACAGATGTTCTTGGTGTGTCTAGACAACAGGAGTGATGAACAAGTAAGGGAGAAGACATAAGTCAAAAGGTACAGGTTGATTTTTGGAAAAATGAAAGTTCATTCTCACTTCCCACCTATATCGAGTTGGTTTCTGAGATCTTGGGGTGTGTGTGTCGGGGGGTGGTCTTCATACTCTCTGAATCTGAGTTAGGAACAAGATTCACCTGCACTATGCATGAAAAACACCTATGGTTGTCAACAGTACTGAAATCCAACTTCCTGGGTTGGTCTTCCATGTTAGACTGGGGATGGAATATGTCCATGGGTGTACCTGTTTATACATGAGCCAGGACCCTGTAAGCAACAAATCTTAAGAGTGATGCAGATGCAACTCAGCAATACCGAGGAAGAGCTTCTGAGGGATACCTCACCTCAATCCCTGAGAAAGGCCTTCTGAGGGATGCTCAAATCTGGAATCCCTGAGGAAGGGCTTCTTAGGGATACCTCACCTCAATCCCCGAGGAAGGGCTTCTAAGGGATACTCACACCTGGAATCCCTGAGGAAGGGCTTCTGAGGTAGATGCTCCCCATACATCATGCAGTGTGGAGACCATTCACTCTTAAGCTAATAGCAAACTCAAGGCAGGTCTCTAGGAAAGACGGGAAGGGACAGGTGCCCAGAACTCCTAGTGGAACTCTCTAGTGATCTTACACAATGTAAAAACTTCTCAATATTGTCCTGACCAAGTAAGAGTATTTAAATTACCTTTGAATCACATCTTGGGATAAAATGCAAAGAATGTTGCTAAAGACTACTATTCAGGTTTATAATTTGGGTAGCAAAGAATAAAAAAGATTGTTCATCATAGGGCAAGTCAGGGGAGCCATGACAGTCCACTCTGAGAGCAGAGCTCACCATGGCTCTGAGTGTTTGGACACTTTAGGGGAGTTACTGCCATTCTCTCCTGCCAGCTTTCTCCACTCTCTGGAAGGGCTACAAAAGGGAACAGCGAGCAGGGGCTTGTGGCTTATATGGTAGAGTGCCTGCCCAGCATGAGAGAAGCCTGCTTTCAACCCCAGTTCTGTAGAAACAAGGCATGGCACTTGTAATCCCAGCACTCAGGAGACAGAAGTTTAGGAGTCCAAGGTTATCCTCGACTATACAGCACGTTCCAGGCCAGCAAGTGTTATATGAAACCTTGTATCAAAAGAGAGAGGGGAGGCCCGGTGGTGGAGGTGAATGCTTTTAGTCCAAGCACATGAGTTTGAGGTCAGCCTGGTCTATAAATTGTGTTCTAGGACAGCCAGGGCTACACAGAGAAACCCTGTCTTAAAAAAAAAAAGCCCCCTGCTTTGCTTGCATACAAGTACCCACTGTCACTAATGGAAGCTGTCCATCAGCCAAGGCACAGCAATTTTCTAAAATGAACTTAAATTTTACAAAGGCATTTTGCTTGCTAATAATTTTCTGAGTGGACCAATGGCCACGACCTGATAATAATGGGCTTGGGATGACTAGTTATGTAATTTGCATCTCTGCCTTGGCTAAGCCCCACAGAATAAGCCAGCAAGAAAATTAGAGTTCCTATAGTCAAGCCATGTTTACACAGCCAGGGTTTCACTATTAGTGGGGGGGGGGGGGGTGCAGGAGACTGAGGGCTGGATAACAAGGAGCACTAACAAGGAGCACTAGCAAGGAGTCTGGACTCTGCCATCTCCTTAGTGCTTGCAGTCAGGTGCATACCTCCAGCCAAATGTGGGCACAGGTGGGAAGGCCGGAAAGGCCAGAGAGCTGAGCTGAGCTGACCTTGTACCTTCTCAGTGACAGGACGACTGAGGAAGCTCTGTGACTGCACTAATGGCACTTTCTCAGCTCGGCACACTGTTCCCTGGATCTCAGAAACAGCTGCAGCTTTACTTTCAAAAGCCACCCCCCCACTTCCCTACTCCTCCGCCCCACTCACCCCACCCCGCCCCACCCCGCCAGGTGCGGAGACTCATGCTGCAACAGCAGTACAGGGAGCCTGAGGCAGGACTGCCATTGGGTTTTGCCTGGGAGAAAAGGAAGCCAGGCTTTCCGCGCTTCCCTCTGGGCTGGCAGGCTTCTGGGCACTGGTCTCAGCTCCACGGAGACTGGAATAGGGCTGTTGACTGAGACTCCCTAAAATCCTTCCAGCTGTCACCCTAGGGGGCTTGTCACATCAGTATTTGAGCCCTTTAGAAAATGTTGACTACCAGACTCCTGGCTCTGCTCCTTTTTTTCATAAATTTCCCATCTACCCCTCCACCCCAACATGGCCAAATGTTCCGCTAGTTTTGCTGTGGATGTTCCTGTATCAATTTAGAAGGGCGGGCAACAAAGAACAAAGAGACAGCTGGGTGGATAAAGTACCTGCCTGATGACCTAGTCTGGATTCCTGGGAGCACGTGTAGAAGCTGGAACCACAGCTCCTAAGGAAAAGGCAGGGCAGACAGGGGAGAGTCCTGGAGCTTTGCAGCCAGAGAGCCTGGCCCATGTGATGGTGAAAACACCTTATCTCCACGCAAGGCGGAGCGGGGAGGGTGGACACCTAGAAGCTGTCCTCGGTCCTTCACACATCACACGCACACTAGCACAACGCACACGTAACAATACATGCACAAAAGAACAAACTGCATGAATGCTATGAAAAATAAGCACATTCAAGTTCCTTTAAGTATAGTTTATTTGTAGTTACTTTAAGCCCAATAAGCTGAGTCTTAATTTCAGTATAATATTTTAAAACTGAGAAGAAAAAGTAACAAGACATTATCAAAGTGCCATAAATTTTATCCTGTTAATGGATATTTAATTTAATATACTTCAACTAACAGAGATGACTATAATTTGTCTAAAAATAGTGATCCAGTTTTCCTCATAATAAATAAATTACTGTACTTCCATAGCAACAGAATAGCATTTTATATAATATAAAAATAAGCGCTACATTAAGAAGTCTGTGCAGTCATTGCATTTCTTTCTATGATTATTAGCTCCTGTGCTAGTTCAATACAAAACACTATGAGCCTACGTGCAAAACAGGCAATAAAAAAATCTTTCAGAAAAGTATTTGTACATGTGTATAAAAGCATGCGTGTATTCGTTTATAGTATGTATCGGTGTAGTTCTGTGCACATGCATGTGTGCCTGTGCAGGGGCCAGTAAGCCAATTCAAAATGTCTTCTTGATCACTTCCACCCTGCTTTTCTGAGAAAGGGAATCACTGAGCCTGATGCTCTCCCACTGGCTAAACCAGCTGGCCAATGAGCGCCAGGGATCCAGCTGTTTCCAATCCCCGGGGCTGAGGTTACAGGCATATTTTCTACCAAGCTTGGCTGTTTCTGAGGATATGAACACAGCCTTTTATGCTTGTGTGGCAGGGACTATACTTAGTCTCATGAGACCAGGATCTGTTAATAAAATCACAATATGTATTTCTGTTGATAGTCAAGAGTACAGCAACAAGCTAGTAGCCTCATTACTCTTGAAATTGAAAGCTGGATCCGTGAATAGCTGCTTCATGTCTTGAAAGTACACACAGTGGGTCAGATCTCTTACCACAATAACTCCACAAAGGGGGTTGATATCTCTGGATAGACTAGGTACAAATAATGCTAGGAAGATAGGGGTCCCCCAGTAACCTGCTGTAGGCCTGACTAGCATCAAAATGTTACACGTTTTACAAATGTGTGTAACTCCTAAAACTGACTCACAACAATAAAAACAGCACAGCCTTCTTCCACACTTTGAGATATTCGATATTCCTTTTCATGTCACTGAACCTCGGAATGTAATTATCATTGAGTACTTTCCACTAACCAATACCATCTTCGCCACTGGCTTACCACTTGCATTAACCCAATATTCCCTCACTTTCTAGGAGAGGGCTATAAACGAGGGGCTTAAAATAGACGCAAGTATTATTGCGGGGGAGGGTGGACAGCACAAGCACCTAGTCTATGAGGCTCTAACTGCAGTGATTAGTTCAGGATACTACTGCCCTTCAGTGGGTGGGGGAAATGCTAGATTCTCTTTATCTCTGCTTCTCTTGGTCCCCAGAGCCCATACCACGCGGTTCTTATTAGTGCCAGCCCCAGGAAGAACAACAGATAGGCTTCAAAGGGAGCTAAACCAAGTCCTTTCCTTACAGACTAGGGCACAGGGGTAGAGCAGTGAATGTTGGAGTTTTGCTAAGCTACCAGTGCTTCAATTTTACTAAACTCATTACTTGCAATCTGAGGAGATACAGCTTATCAAAATCTTGTGAACAAAAGTAGACTGAAGCAATGGGGAACTCTCACACACAAACCGTGTGTGTGTGTGTGTGTGTGTGTCTGTGTGTGCGTGTGTCTTGTGTGTGTCTGTGTGTGTGTCTGTGTGTGTGTGTGTGCGCGCGTGTCTGTGTGTGTTTGTGTGTGTGCGTGTGTCTGTGTGTCTGTGTGTGTCTGTGTGTGTCTGTGTGTGTGCGTGCGTGTCTGTGTGTTTGTGTGTCTGTGTGTGTGCGTGTGTCTGTGTGTGTCTGTGTGTGTCTATGTGTGTGTGTCTGTGTGTGTGTGTGTCTGTGTGTCTGTGTGTGTCTGTGTGTGTGTGCGTGTGTGTGTTCGTTCTTTCAAACTTGATACACACACATGCTGTCTGGTCACTCTCCTCCCCTTGCAAACGGAATTGCTTATTTCCCAGCATCTCTCACTGTGGGGCGCAACACTGTGTGGGGCTGCATGAATGAACATAGGTGTAAAAAAAAAAAAAGCTGGGCAAGAGTAAAAAAGGCTTTCAAATGTTTTGTTACCAAAAACTAATGTGACCACAAACACAATGAATCCTGGATGTTTCTGGTAGCACTTGCCCAGCAGCATCATGTGACTTCACTGCAGCCTTGGTTCTGAATACACAACTCTGCACTGAGCGTGCAGTCATGACACCAACGCCAAACACTGCCTGGAGTGCCTGGGCTCAGAGCAGAAACTACAGTATATGAAGAACTGTGGTAAGTTCAATGAATGAGCAAAGTTTTCTGCTCTTACAGAAACACAATGGTCTAATTATGGGGAAAAGACTTAAGTTTTCCTAACAAACATCTTCAGCATGTAAGTATGGAATTAGCATGTATTTGGATTGCACTGTGTTAACATGTTTGATTTTTAAAACTCTTTTTTGAATTGCTGCTTTGGGTTTCATTTTTAACATGTTATTAAATTATGGTTTGGATGAGAACAGAACTTTCAACCATTTCTGAATTGGCTCTAAACACATTTCTGCCACTTGGTACTGCATATTTATGTGGTATTGTTTGCATTGACAATTTTTAAAATAAAAGTATCAATCAACCATGAAAAGCCTTGAGGTATTATGTAAGACAGTATCAAATATTCAGCCAGGTTAATTCTTTATTTTAAAAAATCTATTTCATTAATATGCACATTTGCTTCTCTTTAGTAAATGGTAAAATTATATGTAGACCAAAGAATTGTTTACATAGATTTCACCTTTGCTTGTCTTTAATAAATGGTAAAATTATACGCAGGCCAAAGAATTGTTTAAATAGATTTCTCACCAGTTAATTTCTAGTTTGTATCCATGGTTTAAATACCTATGTACCCAAGGTTGTGTAAAATTTTCTGATAAAAAGGGAACATTAAAAAGCCCTGGTTTATTTGTTACTCATTAGAGAGGAAACATTAATAATATCATAAAACATTTCCATTTCTACTTTTGAGTGCTATGATACAAAGTAATACTCAAGGAAACTTCCTATTTCTTCAGGGTTTCATGCAAATTACCATCCTGCTGCCTTTGCAGATGACACCCATGTGTAGCTGGAAAGAGACCTACCATAGCAGTCCTGGGTGCAACTTAAAGAATTGGACCTGGCCTGTCTGATGGGTGAGTTTACCTTTCCTCTGTCTGTCATTCAGAAACAGGTCCAAATGTGCACAAGCAGGTCCAATAAAATAAGAATAAGAATAGAAACCAACAAAGGAAAGCTCAAAACAAAGATTCCAGCCGGGTGTTGGCGGTGCACAACTTTAATCCTAGCTCTCAGGAGGCAGAGGTAGGCAGATCTCTGTGAGTTCGAGGCCAGCCTGGTCTAGAATGAGTTCCAGGACAGCCTCCAAAACAATACAGGGAAACCCTGTCTTGAAAAACCAAAAAAAAAAAAGGGGGGGGGGGACTGGAGACACGGCTCAGAGGTTGAGAGCACTGACTGCTCTTCCAGAGGTCCTGAGTTCAATTCCCAGCAACCACATGGTGGCTCCCAACCATCTGTAATTAGATCTGGCACCCTCTTCTGGCCTGCAGGCAGACGTGCAGGTAGAACACTGTATGCACAATAAATAAATAAACCTTAAAAAAAAAAACCAAAGATTCCAGCACAAGGTGATGGCTTCCTTCTATGCTATAATTGCTCTTTCAAAAGACAAAACTTGAACATAAAGCAGTATAGTGAAAAACATCTGAATAAGTTCTTTGTATTCAACAAATTTACAAAAACCAATTCAGATACCAGGCTTAGAAATTACATTAAAAAATCACAATATATTATGATCTAATTTTATCTTTTTACAGTGGATTTTTCTTTTGGACTAGATTGCAGTAAATACATTCCACAACACTCTTCAGTTTCTGATGAACTCCTATAAATACATTAATGTTTGACTTAAGGTTTCCATACACAGCTATTTGGGAACCTAATCCCTTGCATAAGAGCCGCATGACTTCCTTTGACAGGTGTTCTAAGAATGCCTTGGGCATCTCAGATGACTGGCATCATTTTCACACATGTAATTCCTTCAGAAAATCATCTCACACCAGCCACATTCAAGTAGACCTATGGTCCCTTGAGACAAGCTAGTTACATTATCTGACAGTTACATGACTGTGAAATAGTAAAGACAAAAATGGTCTCTCTCTGTCTCTTTCTCTCTCCCCCCACAAACACACACATGCACACAGATAAAACTCAATACAATATATGCAATATATATTATATTCTCATTCTATCATGAAGAAATACATGGTTAATTTACATATCATATATTATATGTGTGTGTACACACACTCATGCACACACATGCACAAACACACACATGTGCACACAGAGACCCCTCCTGACTTTATTCTCAGATACTTTATAATGACTAATTTATTTGAAACTAAAAACCAAACTGCCAATGAGTTCTGAGAAAAAAATGAAAAGGTCAGCTTTACCTATCAGACCACAACACAATTCAATTAATCTATAACAAAAGACAGGGAATGAGTTACACAGTTAACTTATTTCCATAATAAAAACAGAAAGATTCACGTACTGAATACACTAAAGAGATCTTAGCTTCACAGATGTTGGGTTCTGAGTCAATAAACCTGAAACATATGATGGAATAGACATTCCAAAAAATGAGGGGAGATGCATACAGACCACACCCCTACAGACTTCACCTCAATGTCTCCCCCAGGCATGTTACTAAACCTCTCTCCATGTCTCAGTCTCCCCCTAAAATGAAGCAACTGGTACACGTTGAGCATCCCTAATCCAAAGTGTTCTAAAACCTGAAATGGTCCAAGGTCAAAAATGTGTGAGCACTGAGGACGCTATAAAAGCCCTAGACCCACATTTTCAGATCAGAGTGCTCAGTTAGGAAAGGGCACACAATATTTAAAACTCGGATATTCCAAACATTTCTGGCCCCAAGATTCTGGAAGAGGACGCCTTGCTTCGTAGAATCAGTCTCTCAAGACTGTACTGTTTAAGGGAATGAGTTGGCATGCAGCAAGGTTGGTATGCTCAAATGCCAGATCAGCTACCTGGTATCATCATCATAGTTCCACAGCTGGAGCAGACCTTCCTCTCCTGGAATAGACCAGATGCAAGCCATTACGGTTTTAGAACTGGTGGTAGAAGACAAGGAGTAATGTACAGACAACCAAAACAGTAAATGCTGTGTTAATGGAGTGATCCAAGAACCCTGCTTACATCAACTGAGCTCATCTATAGTGAGGACTCACTGATGAGACCCCGCAGTACTTTTTATTGCTGAATGAGATGCTCCTCTTCCACTCATAAAACATTTGGATCTTGCAGGCAACTACAGAAAATTTCCTTCACAATGTCAAGCAAAGCTTTCACAGGGCACAACAGGTACCTCATAGCCAGTTCAGGTCAAAATGAATAGGCATCTTGTTGTGTGCTCCCAGAGACAGTCTATAAACTAAACAGTACTGTTGCTCCTTCCCCACTCAACAAGACTTCTCAATTTAAAGCCAGAACAAAGGCTAACCATCAGGGATGGCTACATTTTCCTACAAAGCAAGATCTCAATTTACATAGAAAACACTAGACTTTACCAGAACATACAATTACCATAAACTTCAGTACAGAATGTGACAACAGAATATGGATTTCGTCTTTACTCTCTTGTATACAGTAAGTTTGAAATTCTGAAATATAATATAAAGGGTATTTACACAGCCACACGAACACCTTCATATCAGTTAACCTTCACACCTGAGAATTACTTGGTGTGAGGAAAACTGATCACCTACTCAGTAGTGCGTGACAAGTGTATTCCATGCTGTGGCAGGGTGTGCTGTGGGGTGTGCCAGATACAAGTGAGCAGAAACCCCGTTCCTTGGAAGACCCCTGCGGGAAGTTTTATTTTGCCTAGGAGAAATCAGGACTATTGTCACAATTCTATTTGCCAAAAGAGCCTGTTTATTTACAAAAACTGGCTACAAGGGACTAGAAGAAAGGCATTTCAATGGAGCTGTCTCTTGCTTTCTTCCTTTCTCACTCCCTTTGAGAAGCGCCCCTGCTGCATGTTTGGCTTCTAAGGGCCTGAGGAGACCCTGGATGCCACAGTGAATGCTGAGGCCTGAAAGAAGTATTTCTCTCTCCCTCTCTTTGACTCAGAAATTCTGAACACAAGAGGATCCATTCAAGGCATGATGGAGTGCCTCACAGAGGCGGCAATATGTTCCCAGTTGGCAAACAGAGACCTGTTTGGACAGTGACTACAGCATCCACTCAGCAAACATCAGCTTTCCGAGGAGTTCACAGGAGAAAGAGGGAGATGCTGTAGGCCTCTTTTTCAGACTCCAGCTCCAATTTGGGACAATCTTTCTAAACAAAAGGCCTTTGTTGCCAAAGTCACAATTCAGTGGGTCCCAACTGCTTTCCTAGAAACTATATCCATCTATTCACAACTGAGTTTGGGCCAAAACTCATTTGTAAAGATCTGAAAGGACAAGAAAGTGATGGGAAACACCCCAATTTCCATCGGTACAATAACAGACAAGGAATGGATAGGAAGCGCTATACACCAGCCAGCGAGGGCGCAGCTAGAGGAAGGCAGCCCAGGGCCTTCTCAAGAGCAGGGGTGTTGGTAGTGCTGCAGCTTAAGAACACAAGCTCTGGGGAAATAATGAACAAGTGAAACCACCAGCTTCCAGTCGGGTTACGTTCCTCTGTTCTCTTTCCCTACAGGTTGTCAGAAGAAAATCCATACACAGTTTCATTAAAGTGGTCAGTTCTGAAAGATAGCAACAGTGGCAAGAGTCTTGTTCACCCAAAATCTCACCAAATCCTCCATGGCTCAAGTAAATGAATATGGAGCAGACACACTTGCCTGGGCTTTCTCCTGACTCTGGCATGACTTGCTACCATGACCAATGTAGCCAATGACGGAAACTGTCACTGTGACATTTTTATTAGCATAAATTCGAGGGCTAAAATTCTGACAAACCTGGGACCTAGCTCAGTGGGTGAGCATTTACCTAGTACTCACAAGGCTCTGGATTCAGCTGCCAGCCCTGCACATAAGCAAACAAAAAATAGGGGTAATGTCAGAGAAAAAGGAGAAAAGAAAAAGGCCATATCCTACAGGGTATGAGGGTACACACAGTCTTTAATATGTTCTCATTATTTGTACATGTTGATTCTCCATCAATACAATGCATAAAAGGCAAATATCAGAACGCACACAACTCCCCACAAATGTATTTCAAAGGGAACATTCTACTTGGGAAAAAGACTGCAATTCAGTGGCCTGCTTTTGTACAGATCACAAGCAAACAATTTTCATATTTGTGTTTGTTTATTTTTAGTTTTATTTTTCGAGACATGGTTTTTCTGTGTAGCTTGGCTATCCTGGAACTCACTCTGTAGACCAGGCTGGCCTTGAGCTCAGAGATCCGCCTGCCTCTGCCTCTGCTTCCGAGTGCTGGAATTAAAGGCGTGCACCACCACCACCCAGCCTAGTTTTCATATGTTTAAAGGGCTATACAAGAAATACAGAATATATGCATCAGAAAGTGTATGTCTATAAAGCAGGGTATTTTCTTGCCCTTCCCAGAATGAGCTTGCCAATCCCTGTACTAAGCCTCAACAAAAGTCTTAAGTAATAATTCCTGGTTCTGCTTGAGACAGATGAAGACTGTGTCTTCAAATAATGCCCGTCAGGGTCAGGCATCTGAGTCCTGGAGAGGATAACGACGAGAGTCAGAATGGCAGTGCCCAGCCTGGAACCCACCCACTTAACAGCAAGCAGTTACTAGACAACCCTAGCACTTTACAATAAGCAAACCCTTCATCCTCTGGAAAGAGACGATAAATCCTACAACTTGCAGAAGGCCTGACTTACGTAACAGGCAGGTAAATAACCACTTGCCTTTACGAGAGGGTATTCGCTGACCTGAGTGAGTCAAGATGTAAAGAAAGTGTACCAAGAGGTGGGAGGGGCTTTACTGTATCATCTGGAGTTCACTAGTTTTCTTGGAGAATATGCCAGAGGAAATACAGACCAAACAGGGAAAAATCCAAGGAGAGTGTTCAGTCAAGCATGCCTTCTCCTTCTGTAAGATACTCTCAGGCATCCTCATACAGACTGGTCTACATGGCGAAGGGCGAAGGATTCCTACCATTTGCAATGAATAAAGGTTAGAGGCTTTTCATGAAGGGACTACTAACACTCAAGTTGCACAAGATAACTGAAGTATCAGTACAGAGAGGGAGAGAAAAGGAGTGAGGAGAAATTCTGTCTGGTCTTAATACTATCCTCCAACTTTCAAGATGGCACAGCTGCCTTTTAAAAGCTCTAAATTTTATTTCCTTGAGAGTTTATTTATGAAGGCAGTTGATATTCTATTTATTTTTAACATCATCTTATTTTCCTTTACCTTTGTGTATGTGTGCACACTTGAACATCTATACATGTGAAGGAAGGCATAGAATTGTTATATAGAAGACAGAAGAAAGCCTTGGATTCCTGTCCTTACCTTCGAATCACTTGAGATGGGACCCTGTTGTCAGGGTGCTGAGTATACCTGCTAGCTTCCGTTTTCTGTCTGCTGGACCTGTCTCTGTTCCCACCTCCCTGGAAGAAGCCCTGAGATTACAGCATTTGTGTGGGCCCTGGGGTTTCAAACTCTGAACCTTATGATTACAAGCAAGTATTTATACCTGCTGAAGCACCTCTCCATCTCCAACAGTCGATTTTTTAGAAACTAATCAGGTATGTGTGCATTCGTGTGTGTGTGTACATATAAATGTATGTGTGCATATATATGAAATTCTACATATAACTTCTAGCCAAGGTATTACATCATCAAAAAACTCAGTGAGGGCTACCAGACAAAAGACAGGTCACACCCTGTTAACACCAAGCTGCCAATACACTTCAAGGAGTTCACACCAGGATGTCCCAGACACTGCATGAGAACTACACTAAGAAAATATTTCTCGCATATTTGAAAGTCAACTTTATCTGGGCATTCTGTGTATTTGCTGGCTAAATGGCACCTTTACCACAGACACAAAGAAGACAATAACATTTATTAAACAGCTGCCAGCACACACCTCTCCCAGACAGGAGGGTGAGAAACTGGAGGACAAGGCTGCTCATTTCATCACAACTTTAGGCAAAGAATGGTATAGAATGAGGGTTTGTGACCCAGCTGGAGGTTGCTGTTGTCCAACTGCGGGGAAGGATGGAGGCCAGCGCAGGGGGACCTGGGGAAGGTAGTCACTCAAGGACTGCTGCTCCTTCTCTGGAGGTCACTTACAAGATAACTGGTGATGGCACTGCTGGGAGTTAAGCAAAGGGTGCACCCCACTGCATGTGCTGTCTTCATGCCAAGTGTGGGTATCAGCAGTGCTATGTTCTCTTCTTTGTACAGAGAAAGAAAAGAAGGTTGGGGAGATGGCTTGGTTAGTGAAGTGTCTGCCTTGGGAGCATGGGGCTCTGGATTTTACCCCCTAAAATTACAGAAAAGTCACTTGTGGTGATATATGCTTGTAATGGCAGAGCTCGGAAGACAGAAATAGGAGGATCCCTGGGGCTCATGGGCCAGCCTGTCTAGATGAATTAGTGGACCACAGCCATTAAAAGGCCCAATGTCCAAAAACAAGAGAAGAAAAAGAGAATGAAATCTGAAGGACACTGAAGGTCGAGCTCTGGTCCCCAGATGCATGCACACAAGTGTGCACCTGTACACGTATGCCGGGGGCGGGGGGTGCATGGAGACTAGCTAAGATGGGACAGAAAAGGTCCATCCTGTGTTTCCCTATGAAGCCCTTCCTGAGAGATGCCTCGTCAGGACACAGACTCCGGGCCAGATTTCCGTGGAACGTACCAACAGCTCTCCCCTGTGCCAACTGCCAGGGACTGGCAGAAGCAAGGGGCATAAGAACATGGACAGAGTAAACGGCCACTCAAGGACATGGGAGGGTGCAAGTGGAGCATTTGTGAAGTTCTGTTCATAGAAACCCACGAAGAAGCTGGGTTTAGCTTACGAGGCTGTTCAGACTCGGACTCCGCCCATGTGTGCACAGTGTGGAAACTGTAGGGCAACACCTGCCACCATAACAGCCTTTAGTTGAAAGCATGAGTGTACTCGGGGAGAAAGCACTTCAACTCTTCAAGCACCATCCGCTTCTAGAACTTTACTTTCCTACATTTTAAAATTACTATTGGGGATGGGAAGGCATGTGCCATGGTAGACATGTGACAACTTTCAGGAGTCAGTTCTCTCCTACCCTGAGCTCCAAGAATCAACCCGAGGTCATCAGGATTGATGGCAGGTGCCCTGACCCACCAGCAGGCTAGTCCTGGTTTTACTTTTCAAATCACAGGCATATGTGCCACTGCAGTCATTTGTCTGAGCTCTGATCCATATGGTTGAAACAAATGAAATGTACTCCATGGTGAGACCATTGTGATGGTGTGCCTGGGCAGCTCTACTTGCCCTTGCTTGGCATGCTAAAAACACAAACACTTCTTCATCTTCCTGTTCTTCTCCCCGATTGGGGATACCTAAAGGGATCTGAGTTGCAGTGGGATAAGGAGGCATCTACATGGAAATCAGAGGATGCTCACATACCACAGTGGGAGGTGCAGAGTGCTGGACCTAGAACACAGCATCTACAGCAGAGCACTGAACCTAGGAACACAGCAACCATGGCAGAGCTCTGGATCTAGGAACACAGTACCCATGGCTGAGTGCTGAACCTAGGAACACATCATCCATGCCAGAACTCGGGATCTAGGAACACAGTAGCCACGGTTGAGTGCTGAACCTAGGAACACAGTGTCCATGGAAGAGCTCGGGATCTAGGAACACAACACCCATGCAGAGCGCTGGACCTAGGAACATAGCATTCACAGCAGAGCTCTGAATCTAGGAACACAGTATCCATGGCAGAGCGCTGGACCTAGGAATACAGCATCCATAGCAGCAGCTTGGCAATGGCGTCAGTCTAGATGGGGTAAAGCGGAGGTCTGGGCAGAGGGATATGGACAAGGGTGAAGCTGAAGAAGCACTGAGGTTGGTCACAGGCATACAGGGCCATAAATGTCCCTATCACAAATATGGTGGGAGTTTCAAAAGCAAGCTTGGCACAGTAAAAATAAAATGAAAACACTGTGTGGTGTAGCGTTTGTTATAAATGTTGGATCCTTTCATAAAGACTGGTATCAACTGACAAAAACAATTTCACACTTTCCTCCTCACCACCTCCATCTAAACATTCCTCTCTCCATCCCAAATGTGCTCCTGAGAACCCCTAACCTAACAAACAGACTGAGGGCGCGGGGAGCATACTACTTAGCACACACGTTGTTCAAAGTCATTATTTGCAAAAATGGCTTTGTATCTTGCAGCACAACATTTTTCTAACACTAATTTGACTTATGAGTCATGATTTGACTTAAAATAACTTGGACTTTGCTTTCTGTCATGTTTCACAAACTCAGGTTGGTTTCTCTTCCCAAACAAGATTTATTTGTGACCTGGGAAACAAATTCTGTAAGGCTCTTTCTTCATAGCTGTGATTAGCAACCAGCCAGCTAAGAAGTCTAAAGAACCCATTACCTCACCAAGGCAACTCAATAGCATAACAGGTTTCTTAGCAACAAGGTAGTCACAGTAACCATTCACCATGGTGTAAGAATTAGGTTGTCCACTCCAAGTTGAGGCCAGAGCAATATTTTCAACTCATTAAATCTATAGGCTCAAGGTAACACCCAAACTGACAATGTCCCATGTGATCCATCTGTGAAGTCATGTTGCTCTCAGATTCTATAGTGCTAGATTACAATGTGTTTACAAACAGTTCTAATTC